ATACTCTATAGAGACTTCTTTTGTTGTTGTTTTTGTTAGGTGCCATTGAGTTGCTACCAACCCATAACGACCATATGCACAGCAGAATGAAATGCTGCGTGATCCTGGGCCAACCTCACTACTATTGCCACGTTTGAGTCCATTGATGCTGCCACTTGGCCAATCCATCCCATTGGGGGTCTTCCTCTTTTTCTTGACCTTCGACCTTACCAAACATGATATCCTTCTCCAGTGACTGCTCCCTCCTGACAATATGTACAAAGTATGAGAGACGAAGTTTAGCCATCTTAGCCTCCAAGGAACAATCTGGCTGCTCTTCTTCCAACACAGATATATTTGATCTTTTGATAGCCCATGGCACTTTCAATATTCTCCTTCAACACCATAACTCAAAGGCATCAATTCTTCTACAATATTCCTTATTCACTGTCCAGCTTTCGCAAGCATATGAGGTTATTGATAATACCATGGCTTGGGTCAGGCGCACCTTAGTCCTAAAGCTGACATCTTTGCTCTTCAACTTTAAAAAGTTCTTGTGCAGCAGATTTGCCTAATGCACTATGTTGTTTGATCTCTTGACTGCTGCTTCCATGAGTGTTGATAGTTGATCCAAGAATGAAGTCCTTCACTTTAATCTTTTCTCCATTGATAAGAACATTGTTTATTGGTCCAATGGTGAGGATTTTTGTTTTTTTGTTTTTTTTACATTGAGATGTAATCCATACTGAAGGCTGTGCTCTTTGTTCTTCATCAGTAAACATTTTAAGTCCTCTGCACTTTCAGCAAGCAAAGTTGTATCATCTGCATAGGGCAGGTTGTTAATGAGGCTTGCTCCAATCCTGATGCCATGTTTTTCTTCATAGAACCCAGATGCTTGGATGATTTGCTCAGCATACAGGTTGAGTAAGTATGGTGAAAGAACACAACCTTGTCGCACACCTTTCTTAATTTTAAAACATTCAGTGTTCCCATGTTCTGTTTGAACAACTGCCTCTTGGTCCAGGTACAGATTCCTCATGAGTGCAATTAAGTGTTCCGGATGTTGTCCGTAGCTTGTCATGATCCACACAATCGAAAACCTCTGCGTTGTCAATAAAGCACAGGTAAACATCTTTCCTATATTCTCTGCTTTCAGCCAAGATCCATCGGACATCAGCAATGATATCCAGCATTCCATGGCCTCTTCTGAATCTGGCTTGAACCTCTGGAAGTTCTCTGTCAATGTATGATTGTAGCCATTTCTGTATTACCTTTAGTAAAACTTTACTCGCATGGGATCTCAAAGAGATTGTCTGATGATTTCCGTATTCTGTTGTGTCACCTCTCTTTGGAATGGGCACAAATATGGATCTCTTCCAGTCAGTCGACCAGATAGTTGTCTTCCAAATTTCTTGGCAGAGATGAATGAGTGCCTCCTGTGCCGCCTCACTTTCTTGAAAAATTTCAATTTTTATTCCATCAATTCCTGGTGCCTTTTTCTTTGCCAATTCCTTCAATGCACCTTAGACTTCTTCCTTCAGTATCATTGGGTCTTGATCATATGCTACCTCTTGAAACAGTTGAACATTAACCATTTCCTTTTTGTACATGATTCTGTATTCCTTCCATCTTCTCTTGATGCTTTCTGCATCATTCAATAATTTGTCCAGAGAATCTTTCAATAACAAAAGTCGAGGCTTGATTTTTTCTTTAATTGTCCCAACTTGACAAATGCTGAGCCTGTTCTTCCTTTTTGGTTTTCTGATTCCGGATCTTTGCACATTATTTTGTAATATTTGGCTTTATCTTCTCAAGCTGATCTTTGAATTTTTCTGTTCATCTTTTGGACCTCCTCATTTCTTCCATTTGCTTTAGCTTCTCTATGCTGGAGAGCAAGTTTCAGTGTCTCTTCTGACATCCATTTTGAACTTTTCTTTCTTTCTTGTCTTCTCAATGACATTTTGCTTTCTTCCTGTATGATGTTCCTGATGTCATCCCACAACTCTTCTGGTCTTTGGTCTTTAGCGTTTAATGGATCAAATCTGTTCTTCAGATGATCTCTAAATTCAGGTGTCATATATTCAAGGTCATATTTTGGATCTCGTGGACTTGTTTTCATTTTCTTCAACTTCAGTTTAAATTTGTATATGAGTAATTGATGGTCTTTTCCACAGTCTGCCCCTAGCCTTGTTTTGACTGACTATATGGAGATTTTCCATCTTGTCTTTCTGCAGATGTAGTCAATTTGATTTCTATGTATTCTATCTGGTGAGATCTATGTGTATAGTCATCTCTTATGCTGTCTAAAGAAGGTATTTGAAATGAACAAATTATTGGTTTTTCAGAATTCTATCATGCATCCTCCAGCATCATTTCTATCACCAAGGCCATATTTTTCAAATACTGATCCTACCTCTTTGCTCCCAACCTTTGCATTCCAATCACTAGTAATGATCAATACCTCTTGATTGCATGTTTGATCAAGTTCAGATTGAAGAAGTTGTTAGAATTCTTCTAATTCATCCTCACTGACTTTAGTGGTTGGTGCATACATTTGAATGATAGTGGTATTAACTGGGTGGGCTTCCTTGCGTGGTTATTATCCTATCACAGACAATGTTGTACCTCATGACTGATCTGGATATGTTCTTTTTGACGATGAATGCAACCCCATTCCTTTTCAATTTGTCATTCCCAGCATAGTAAACCATGTGGTTTTCAGATTCAAAATGGCCAATACCAGTTCATTTCAGCTCACTAATGCCTAAGGTATCTAAGTTTATGTATTCCATTTCATTTTTGACAACTTCTAATTTCCCCAGAATCATACTTTGTACATTCCATGTTCTGATTTTCAGTGTATGTTTACAGCTGTTTCTCTTCATTTTGAGTTGTGCCCCATCAGCAAAGGAAGGTCCCACGGGCTTTGCTCCCATGAGTTTTATTCCATTCGCATTATCATGGTTAACTCTTCTCTGAGGAGGCAGCTCTTCCCCAGTCGCATTTTGAGTGACTTCCCACCTGAAGGACTCATTTTCCGGCATTATATCTGACACTGTTTCTCTGCTATTCATAAGGTTTTCAGTGACTAACGATTTGGAAGTAGTTCGTCACTCTTCCTAGTCTGTTTTTGTCTGGAAGTTCATCTGAAACCTGTCCACCATGGGTGACCCTGTTGGTATTTAAAATACCGGAGGCGTAGCTTTCAGAGTTACAGCAACTCACAAGCCACCACAGTACGACAAACTGACAGATGAGTGGTGGCCGTTTGGTTTTAAGTGGAAACTGTCACTTCAATCAATGACTTCATTTATTAACCCTTAAATAGGACAAGGAGTCCTGGTATGGAGCTGCAGGTTAATGCACTGGATTTCATAGTTGGTTTGAACTACAAGGTCGACAGTTCTAGCTCACCAGCTGCCTCTCAGAAACCCTATACAGGATTGCTATCGGTCAGAACTAGCTCAATGGCACCTAACAACAACAACAGGTATGACAAAGCCAAAACAATATAGTCATCTGCATGAGAGAATCATCAGCATGATACCAAAATGGCGTCCAAAGAATTCAAGACCGTGGGCTTATTTATGGTGTTATTAAATGCTGTCAAGTAGACTCTGACTCATAGTGACAATGTATGGGGTTTCTGAGGCTATAAATGTTTGTGGTAGCAGAAAACCTCATCTTCTCCCATTGAATAGTTCAAGAGCTTCAACTGCCGACCTTGTGGTTCACAGTCCAGTGCCCATAAAGAGCAACTTTGCTCCCTATGTGCTAGTTATAGAAGATTAAAAACAAAATCCTGATTGGCAGCAGATCACTTCATCACAGTTTCAGGTGGGGCCGCAGAAGCAGGAAGATGTGTATGGGATGCATACACATCTGTTTATTTAAAAAGTTTACAGGGTTGGTCCTGGAGCACTGACCACCTGGCTTCATGCGGCCTTGAGTCTTAGCAACCAGTGTGCTAACTTTTAGATTTGTTGTTATTAAGTGCCTTGGAGTTGGTTCTGACTCATAGCAACCCAGTATAGGGTTTCAGAGGAACAACTGGTGGGTTTGAACCACCAACCTTCTGGTTAGCAGTTTAGCGATGATCCTACAATGCTATACCATGAGTTCATAACTTTTAGATAACATGTTAGTATTATCAATACATCTTTATTTTTATTGTTGTTAAGTTCCGTTGAGTCAGCTCCAAACCATAACGACCCTGTATAGGGTTTCCGAGGAGCAGCCAGTGAGCTTGAACCACTGACCTTGCAGTTCAAACGACTTTGCAGTCTGGCGCATTAGCCTACAACACCACATGACTACTTGTGACAAACACCAAGTCTGAATATTTGCCAACTTTCTGTTTATAGAAAATGTTTGTTGATTTATGGTTATAAAAGTAGAGGGATCCCCTTGATCAGATCTATTAAAAGATGCTGTTTCTGGTCTGGTCAATATCTTTAGCTGTTCCCCCTGAAGAAGAAATAAGCAGTCCTCTGATGAAGACTTTTTTTTCCTATCCAACTTATTTCATTAATTGCTTTAACTTTTTCATAACTACCCTGATGAAAGAAGCTCTGATAGCATAGTGGTTACGAATCGGGCTGCGAACCTCAAAGTCAGCAGTTCGAAACTACCAGCTGTTCTGTGGGAGAAAGATGAGGCTTTCTGCTCCCGTAAAGACTTACAGCCTTGGAAACCCTATATCAGGTCGCTATGAATCTGAACCAACTCCACGGCATATAACCACCACCACCACTATCACCCTGATAAAGCATCTTAAAATTTTAGTTCCTTAAAAAACACTTTCTCTGCTGTTTATAGACAATCCCTGTCAAATGCTTCAATTGTGTTCTCTCAGTGGAAAATGGGAGATACTTTGAGTAATGTTTCCTTCTTCGATCTGCACTACCACCACTGAGAAGGCTCACGTCTCTCCTCTCTGTCTGTTTCACAGGAACCCATGAAGTTGTGTTCCATGGACACACACTCTTTCAAGGAGTGAATTCCTCAGTCTTAATGCAGTTATGGATCTGGATAAACCATCAGTCTGGGGTTCTTTGAAGCAGAGAACCATACCTTTGCTAATCAATTTGAGCAAGAAGAAAGTGAAAAAGAACACAAGCAAGCCCCTCGACTTACAGGCAACTCATCACCTGGACCGCCGCTTGAGCCTTTCCGTCCCTGATATCCTCGAGGCTGGGGCCTTAGCTACAGAGGGTCGGCCTTACTGTGGGCCCCAGTCTTCATATACCTCAGTGCCCAGTAGCCTTTCGACCGCAGGGATTGTTGCAAAGAGCAGCAGTAGCTCCTTGAAACAGTCTGAAGAAGAATTGGATTGGAACCAGGAAGAAGTTGGCCACTTCCATGTGGTGGAAGTGGACTCTGAGGAGATTTGTGGCCCCCATGCTGCAGATAGGAGGGCATCCAGCAATGGCACCTTTGATCTGCAGAAAATGCCCCTCAGAGAGGAAGCATCCGAAGAGCCAGAGGTGAGACCAGGGCTGCTTACTTCCCTGTTTCTATTTCTTTTCTTGTTGTTTTTGTTTTGTTTTTTCCAGTGTATTCAGTGCCCTTGGAAATTTTGGTTAGGAGTTACTTCTGTGGTTAGCTTAGATATCATTTACAAGAATTTAAATTAATGCAATATTGATTGAACTCAGTGTTCCCATTAGTTTGGGGGTTGACCTCTACATATTTTAAAACTATTGCAAACAACCTTTCTAGGACACTTTAAGGCTTTAAAAGCTATATTGGATGAGCCTTCTTTTTTCCATCTCTTGGCAAAGAAGTTAAGTGCATGTTTTTGTTTTTTGTTTTTTTTCTAAATTTTTGCTAAGTGTGTGACTAGCTCTTTCTTTCCATCCCTGCCTATATACTATCACCCATCCTACTGGTACACATCCTGGCATATTGAGGTGTGTCTTTTTCAATCCACAGGGCAGATATCTTCCTATTCCTTACTGGATGTGTAGGCAACTTCTCTTGCATTCAGCCTGTTAAAAAATAATAAAAGCACAAATAAATTAAGGTCTATTGAGTTGATTTGAAGACTAAATGTGTATAGGAAGAGAATTCTGCTTTTTAAAAAAGAAAATGGCTCAATGCAGACGCGGGACAAAGAGACTATTAAAGAAAAAAGGAGAAAACAGAACAGAAAATCAACCACTGACTAATCTTAATGTGATGGGTTTAGAGCCATGCCCTTGCACCCCTGCCTCACCCTGAGATCAGCTGGAATCAGGTCACTAGGTGGTCTCTGTCTTGGGAGAGTAGGGAGCATTCATTTGCACAGATCTTCAGGTATTGTCCAGAGGGAAGTGTTAAAATGAAAAAGGTAATTCAATTATTCAGGTAATTATGAGGGCTATCTATTTGGAAGCAAGGGAGATTATGTAAGTTTATAATCTTTTCTTTAGACCACCTCAGAGCTAGTTATGTTTAACATATGTCTTTATTACTAAAGGGATTGTGGCACTGTAAGATAAATACCTGACTGCTATGACTAGGTTGGCAGTTCAAACCCACCCATTACTTCTTGGAAGCCCTAAGCAGAGTCACTATGGATTAGAATGAACTGGATAGCACGTAACAATAAAAATAATTGTATCAATCTGAGCCTTAGCTTTCTTATTATTGATAATAAAAACACAAATTCAAAAACAACAACCAAAATACTCCAATAAAATATACTTGAGAATAAATAAACTAAGTCACCCTATCCAAGAGGATGGTATATGCTCCCACTTTTCTAACTATCTTGGTTTCTTGCAGTAGTGTTTTGTACTTTTCTTTGTTTAGGTCCTTTGTTTCTCTGGTTACATTTATTCCTAAATATTTCATCCTTCGGTTGGCTACTGTAAATGGTATTGCTTTTCTAATTTCGTTTTCGGCATTGTCATTATTAATATAGAGGCATCCAACTGATTTTTTTTTGTCCAACTGATTTTTGTATGTTGATCTTATATCCTGCTACTTTGCTGAATCTTCCAATGAGTCCTAGTAGATTTTTTGCTGAGTCTTTGGAGTTTTCTACATATAGGATAATATCATCTGCAAATAGAGAGAGTTTTACTTCCTCTTTGCCAATCTGGATGCCTTTAATTTCCCTGTCTTGCTGTATAGCTCTTGCTAAGACTTTCAGCACAATATTGAATAGGAGTGGTGACAAAGGGCATCCTTGTCTGGTTCCTGTTCGCAGAGGAAAGGTTTGCAGTTTCTCTCCATTGAGAGTGATGTAGGCTGTTGGTTTTGTATTGTTGTTGTTGTTGTTGTTATGTGCCGTGGAGTCAGTTCCGACTCATAGCGACCTTGTACGGGGTTCCTGAGGCTGTAAATCTTTACGGGAACAGAAAGCCTCATCTTTCTCCCGCAGAACAGCTGGCATTTTGGAACTACTGACCCTGAGGTTTGCAGCCCGATTCGTAACCACTACGCTACCAGAGCTCTTAATTATGTTGAGGAATTTCCCTTCAATTCCAGCTTTGTTGAGGGTTTTTATCTGGAATGGATGTTAGATTTTGTCAAATGCCTTATCTGCATCAATCCATATGGTCATGTGGTTCTTTTCCTTTTTCTTATTTATATGGTGTATTACATTGATTGTTTTTCTAATGTTGAACCATACTTGCATCCTTGATATGAATCCCACTTGGTCATGATGTATTATTTTTTTGATGTGTTGTTGGATTCTATTGGCTAGGATTTTGTTGAGAATTTTTGCATCTAAGTTCATGAGGGATATTGGTCTCAAATTTTCTTTCTTAGTGTTGTTCTTCCCTGGTTTTTATATGAGGGTTATGCTTGCTTCATAGATTGTATTAGGAAGTTTTCCATCCTTTTCTATATTCTGGAATAACTTGAGGAGAATTGTTGATAGCTCTTCCCTGAATGTTTGGTAAATCTCACCAGTGAAGCAATCTGGACCTGGTCTTTTGTTGGTTGGGAGCTTTCTGATGACCTGGTCAATTTCGTCCGTTGTTACAGGTCTGTTCAAGTTTTCTACTTCACTCTGTGTGAGCTTAGGTAGATCATACTTTTCTAAGCAGTGATACCAGATATGGAGGCAGAGATGGGGACATGGAGAGAGGAAGCAGAACTTTGGTACTGAAGGAAGATGCCCAAGGTGGCAAAAAACATGACTCCATGAATTGATGAAACACAAATTGAAATGTTTTAACAAGGTGTTGCAGATCTAGAGCTGCTCATTCATCTAGGTCAAGAAATTTGGAAGACAGCTAGCTACCTGGCCCACTAATTAGAAGTGATCCATATTTGTGCCCATTTTAAAGAGAGGTGACCCAACTACATGTGGAAATCATCAGACAGTAACATTAATATCTCATGCAAGTAAAAGTTTGCTGATGATAATTCAGAATGATTGCAGCAGTGTATTGACAGGGAGCTGCCAGGAATTCAAACTGGACTCAGAAGTGGACATAGTACTAGGGGTATTATTGTTGACATCAGATGGATCTTAGGTAAAAGCAGATAAAGCAATAAAGATATTTTAATTTTTATTGTTAGGTGCCATTGAGTTGGTAGTGACTCATAGTGACCCTATGCACAGAAGATACAGAAAGAAACACTGCCCGATCCTGGGTCAACCTCACAATTGTTGCTACGTTTGAGCCCATTGATGCTGCCACTGTGCCAATCCATCTCGTTGGAGGGCTTCCTCTTTTTCTCCAAGTTACCAAACATGAGATCCTTCTCCAGTGTCTGGTCTCTCCAGACAATGTGTATGAAGTATGAAAAACAAAGTCTGGCTATCCTGGCTTCCAAGAACCACTGTGGCTATACTTCTTCCAAGACTGATCTGTTTGTTATTTTAGCAGTCCATGGTACTTTCAACATTCTCTTCCAACATCATAATTCAAATGCGTCAATTCTTCTATGGTCTTCCTTATTCACTATCCAACTTTTGCATGTGTCTGAGGTTATTGAAAATACCATGGCTTTTGTCAGGCGTAACTTAGTCCTCAAACTGACATCCGTGCTCTTCAACACTTTGAAGAGGTCTTGTGTAGCAGATTTGCCCAATGCAGTAAGTTGTTTTAATTCTTGACTGCTACTTCCATGAGTCTTGATGGTTGATCCAAGCAAAATGAAGTCATTGACAATGTCATTCTTTTCTCCATTTATATGGATGTTATATATTGGTCCAGTGATGAGGATTTTTGTTTTCTTTACATTGAGGTGCAAACTTCACCAAAGACTCTGGTCATTGATTTTCATCAATAAGTATTTTAAGTTCTCTTGGTTTTAAGCAGGCAAGGTTGTATCATCTGCATATCACAGGTTGTTAATGAGACTTTCTCCAATCCTGAAGCCATGCTTTTCTTCATATAATGCAGTTTCTCTACATTATTTGCTTCTCATACAGATTGAATAAGTATAGTGAAAGAATATAGCTTAGGTGCACAACTTTCCTAATTTTAAACCATTCGGTGTTCCCTTGTTCTGTTCAAACAACTGTCTCTTGGTCTACGTACAGGTTCTTCATGAGCACAATTAAGTGTTCCAGAATATTCATACTTTGCAATGTTGTCCATAGCTTTTCATGGTCCACACAATTAGAGGTCTTTGGCTAGCCAATAAAGTGCAAGTAAACATCTTTCTAATATTTTCTACTTTTAACCAAGATCCATCTGATGTCAGCAATGACGTCATAACTTCGTAATAGAGAGAAAAATGTTTACTTTTGCTTTATTGGCTGTGTACCACTAAACACATTCAGTAACATTGTGTATGAGTGGGTATTCAAGAGCACTTAATTGTGCTCATGAGGAACCTGTACAAAGACCAAGAGACAGTCATTTGAACAGAACAGGGGGTTACTGACTGGTTTAAAATCAGGAGATGTGTGTGTCAGGGCTGTATCCTTTCACTATATTTATTCAATCTGCATTCTGTGCAAACAACCAGAGATTGTTTGCTGGATTATATGAAGAAGGTGGCATTAGGATTAGAGGAAGACTCTAATCCATTAATAACTCTCCATATCCGAATAACACAACTTTGCTTGCTGAAAAGGAAGAGGACTTTAAATAATGATGACAATCAAAGGCTATAGCCCTCAGTATAAATTGTACCTTAATATAAAGAAAACAAAAATCCTCATAGCTGGATCAATAGAAACAGCAGTTAAGAAATCAAAGAACGCATTGCATTAGGCAAATCTGTTGCAAAAGACCTCTTTAAAGTGTTAAAGAGCAAAGATGTCAGTTTGAGGACTAAAGTGTGCCTGACCAACCCAGTATTTCCAGTCTCCTCATATGCATGTGACAAAGTCCTGGTTTGGTAATGTAGGAGCAGCACTGGGCCACAAGGTCAGTTTGAATTGCAAAGTCAGTAGTTTAAACCCATTAGCCACTCATCAGAAACTCTAAACAGGGTCTCTATGAAGTGGAACTGACTTGATGGCACTTAACAACAACATAGGCATGTGAAAGTTGGACAATGACTAGGGAAGACCCTAGGAGAATTGATG